AAGATTAATTATGCTAACCATTCTCTTAGGATTAGAAGAGATTCTGTTAAACTAACCTTAATAAATTATAGTTATTGATTAACCAAACAATATATTTTAGTTTAATATCCTACGCCTTATTAGGTTTAATGATAGTTGTGTGGAGTTAGTTAGTGGACCCGCTCTATTTTTGTAATTAAGCTAATTAAATAACAGAATTTACTATTAGAATTTGACATAATAAAATAAGTACATACTCATTACTATTAGTGTTTATTTATACACATAAACCGCCATAAATGTCTCATTTTGATAATAATTTCATACGTCACAATAAAGTACCATGACGAAATCTGTATAAACCAAAGAAATAGGCTATATAAATCAGTACCTTATAACTATTCAACTCATTTTTTTTACAAATATAGTTATAGTCAGTAATACATTATACATAATTCCAAACAATGCTCTCCCCTTTTCACACTTCATTTACCTAAACCTAACCTAAGCCATGTAAACGTAGTTCTTTTCATATTATCTATCGCATAGATACTCACGGGTTACAACAACAACTTATATTTAAAAGATTTCATTAGTCTTTGTAAATTCATTCCTTAATACGTACCTCACAAAGCACAATTCCAAACGAGAAGACATCAACTTTTTCATCGTATTTTAAGCCTTTCATCATTTCAGGTGCCATCCAATATGGATTACCCACGACTGTGTAACGTTGACGCCTTTGTCGACTTTTACTTCGACCAAAAGTGCCAGTATTCGAATTTGTGCCATTACCACCGCTTGTTGTAGAACTACTATATAGAGGTGACGTTATAATTCTTGCCAAACCGAAGTCTGCTACAATCACGCTTTTATCATCACGCACTAAACAATTTAACGAATTCAAATCCCGATGTATTATATTCATGGAATGTAAATAACTCATGCCACAAGCAATGTCTTTTGCAAATGAAACACGTTGTGGCCATGTTAATGGCAGGCCCGAATCGTGTATTAACTCCTTCAAAGAACCACCTGGTATATATTCCGTAACTAAATGTAACTTTTTGTCTTTGTACAAAACGCCAATAAAACGAAGCACATTCTTATGATGCAGTGAACGCAAAACTGCGACTTCTTTTAAAAAATTACGCTGCGCTTCTTCATCGACGCGATATAGTTCCTTAAGTACCATGACTTCCTTCGTAAGGCGATGTGTTACTTTATAGACTTGTCCAAAAAATCCTTTTCCAAGTAGTTCACCTAGTACTAAGTCAGACGCACGAAATATGCGCTGTGGCTTAGGTTCAACACGGAATGACTTGGTGCGCGATAAATCATACATATCCTGCGGTTGAGCATGTTGCTCATCCAACAATTTTGACATACTGGAACAGCGTTCTTTTTCTTTAAATGGTAGATTTGTTGTTGTTGTATTTGTGGTGTGCGGCATTTGATTCACATCATGTGTTATCATATTTAAATTTTTATTTTTGCGCAATTGTCGTGTCTTTGTGCCACTGATATAACCTTCATCTTTACGTTTGAAAAGTCGTTCCTTATCGTTTTTTGTGTTTAGATTGTTTTCGTTACGGCCATACACTTCTATACTTGACGCTGATGTTGCCAATGGCGGTGCTTCAATCGTGGCTTTCTGTATATCGGCCTGGCTGCAGCTACGACAAACTTGTACTGGATCGTGCTCAACGGTTAGTTGTAGTATTTTCTCTGTACTGCGTATCAGTTTATCAATATGTTCGATCGAAGTGTCACTGACTGGTGTGCCATTCACTTCTAAAATACGATCGCCAATATGCAAGTTTGCTAAATTTACATCGATTCTAAAAATAATTTTCATTATTATTTATATCTTTCGTGTTTGCAGATATGAATGAGTTAATGTGATTATGTTTAGAAAGCATTACCTATATGCACCACAACATTGATCGATCACTGATGTTATAAAGGAGAATACGTATTTTCCCACTCTGCCATATATTCTACAAATGAATCTTCAAGGAAGTGGAAAAGTTAAATGAAATTAGTAATGCAGCGGTAACTACGTGTGCTGTTTAATGTGCTAAATTAATTGCGATTTGTGTTAGTTGCGAAAATATTTATTCTGGACATAGGTTCAATAAATAACTTCGAAATTAGTATTATTAATTGATGACTAAATTAAATTCCACAATAAATTCTTTAAACAATTGTTTTTAAAATAAAGATTGTGTCATTGTGGTGAGCTTAAATACATTGATAAGTTGATAAGATGCCTTGTCTTGCTTTCTTGACAGCTGAACGATAAAATTTAATAAGATAATAAAAGTTGATAAGAAATAAAAATGCAAGTGCTAAACTTTATTTGTATTCTTACAAAGTAACTAATTATTAAAATTAAATGTAGTTAAAGTTTAAACGGCTATGTCCAGTGTACAAATATATTTGCACAATTGTTAAACTAAAGCGCATATTTTAGAAATTATTTTTGTGTTTATGGAAATCTTACTCTGAAATTCTCACAGCTGGACAAATATCGCCTGCCCCACCGCTACCATCTAAACGCACGGTAGGCGCAATGAAACCATGTACTGGAGAGCTACCATCTATGAAATGACGCTGTACGCTAACATTATCTACGGATAGCCTTAAGCCCGGTGTGGCATCCTTCGGAATTTCCACTAAACGTATCGAATGCAAAGGTTTAGCATTACCTCCGCCGTCCGTTTCACTTGTGGGGCTAGTTTGTTTTTTGTAACACGTTCCACAATACAATTTAGATCGTTCGACCAAAGCATAGGATTCACCATCGCCAATAAAAGTTGCGCAAGCACTGCAACAGAAACATTCCGGATGAAATTTATGATCACCAGCAACCATAACAGGCCCTGTTATCACGGCACTGCATTGTTGACAAGCTTCACCGAAACGCTGATAATAATCCTCGCGACAAAATAGCAATCCCTCCTTCTCAAAATACCAATTGTGCAAATGTACATCACAAACCGAGCAACGGAAACACTCGCTGTGCCACTCTTGTCCCAAAGCAATAACAAACTCCTCGCGACTCAAGTGCAGAGCATTCAAACAACCCGCACATGACGTGTGCTGACCTTGCAAGTGCGCGGATTGGGGTCGCGTACGCTGTTCGTTTGTTGGCGGCTTGGATACTGTGGGAATGTGCATGAAATCTGCAATTGCAAAATATTAAAAATAATTCAGCGATAAAACTCAGCTCATAAAATTGTGTCATTTTCGAAAACGTTACAGTGTGAGATGTTTTACAATCTATTTCACTCGCTTAACCGTGACCCTGAGACCGCTGCGCTAGAGGATGATTCATTTCTCATACATTATGTACGACGAGTACGTGATTTTTAATGGCGGCAGTAAACAAGCCATTCTGTCATCGAATTGCAATACCCCCGCGTCATTACTTGAATGTAACGAATGTAACCACTGAATTTATTGCAACATTTCGATTTCTTAATCACAAAGTGCAATTAAACCACTTTCTTACTAAAATAAAAATTTTCCAAACTCCATTTCTCACTCAACCCACGCATTTTACACTTGTTACTTTTCGCACGAAATTTTCGCTTTTCCACACAAATTATTAAATAATTTCATAAATTATCATTCTTTGTTCACATTTTAAACGTTTTTTGTTTATTTAACGTACCATAATTTAATTTTTTATCCATATTTCGAAGCTACATTATTTTGCTGTATACTCTATGCCCCTTTTTCGTTTTCTTACTGCATCTAAAGAAAAAAAAACGAAGCAAAACAAAAACGTCAACACGAAAAAAAGCAAAAAGCAAAAAAGCGTTGCCAGCATGCATTTATTTTTTATTCGAAAATTATAAAATTTTGGGAGATTTTTTGGGATATTTTGTACTGCACACATTTAACCATTTATCAGCACGTATCGACACATCACTACATTATCGACACAACTTAGAATTTCCCTCATTTAGAACGCAACTTAGGCTAACTCGCTCACGTCCTAAATTCAAATTTCCTAGGGATTTGTTGCACTGCACTTATGTAAATATTTATTTATTTATTTATTGCAACTATTTATTATTTTTGGTTAAAAGTTTCCAAATTTATTTATTTACTAGCTGACCTGGCGAACTTCGTCTCACTTACACCTTTCTAATGATCGAGCAAGTGCAGTGTTAACTCGATCTTTTTCTTGCCTTGCTTGCCTCTGCTCACTCGTTTCTAGTGATCGAGCAAGCGCAGTGTGAACTCGATCTCTTTCTTGCCTAGTTTTTCTCTGCTCACTCGTTTCTAATGATCGAGCAAGAGCAGTGTTAACTCGATCTCTTTCTTGCCTTGCTTGCCTCTGCTCACTCGTTTCTAGTGATCGAGCAAGAGCAGTGTGAACTCGATCTTGTTCTTGCCTAGTTTTTCTCTGCTCACTCGTTTCTAATGATCGAGCAAGTGCAGTGTGAACTCGATCTCTTTTTTGCCTAGTTTTTCTCTGCTCACTCGTTTCTAATGATCGAGCAAGAGCAGTGTTAACTCGATCTCTTTCTTGCCTTGCTTGCCTCTGCTCACTCATTTCTAGTGATCGAGCAAGAGCAGTGTGAACTCGATCTTGTTCTTGCCTAGTTTTTCTCTGCTCACTTGTTTCTGTAGCTCGTTCTTCTCTTCTCCTTTTTGCTTGATTTGTAGTTCGACAAATAGCACTTCGCTTTGGTGGCATAATTGTATGTTAAATAAAATGTATTTCCCTCTGATTTTAATAAATTAAATTAAATAAATTATTCTATTTCACTTAATATATTTACTCAAAACTAAACTAAAACACACACTGTAGGAAGATAAAAACCAAACTGACTTCTCAAAATCTAACAATCTAGGATAGCTAGATTGTTTTAAATCATATTGGAAATTATATTACAGAATACACTTTTACCAAAATATTACTAAGGACGTGTGCGAGTTAGGCTAAGTTAATGCTAAACCAAATGGGAGATTTTTTGGGATTTTTTGCACTACACACATTTTGCCATTTATCAACACGTATCGACACATCAATACATTATCGACACAACTTAGAATTTCCCTCATTTAGAACGCAACTTAGCCTAACTCGCACACGTCCTATGTTGGTAGGCAACGAATGTTGGTATTTATCAGAATTTACCCATTGTGAAAATTTTGTAAGATGTTTAATAAATCTTAAATCTATATATGTATATAAAAATTAATGTTGTCTGTGGGTATGTCTGTACTCGATGGATTCAAAAACCATACATCCAAACACCGTGAAAATTTGGGAAATTATTATGTATAATTAGGTCGTGTGCGAGTTAGGCTAAGTTGCATTCTAAATGAGGGAAATTCTAAGTTGTGTCGATAATGTATTGATGTGTCGATACGTGTTGATAAATGGCAAAATGTGTGTAGTGCAAAAAATCCCAAAAAATCTCCCATTTGGTTTAGCATTAACTTAGCCTAACTCGCACACGTCCTTAGTAATATTTTGGTAAAAGTGTATTCTGTAATATAATTTCCAATATGATTTAAAACAATCTAGCTATCCTAGATTGTTAGATTTTGAGAAGTCAGTTTGGTTTTTATCTTCCTACAGTGTGTGTTTTAGTTTAGTTTTGAGTAAATATATTAAGTGAAATAGAATAATTTATTTAATTTAATTTATTAAAATCAGAGGGAAATACATTTTATTTAACATACAATTATGCCACCAAAGCGAAGTGCTATTTGTCGAACTACAAATCAAGCAAAAAGGAGAAGAGAAGAACGAGCTACAGAAACAAGTGAGCAGAGAAAAACTAGGCAAGAACAAGATCGAGTTCACACTGCTCTTGCTCGATCACTAGAAATGAGTGAGCAGAGGCAAGCAAGGCAAGAAAGAGATCGAGTTAACACTGCTCTTGCTCGATCATTAGAAACGAGTGAGCAGAGAAAAACTAGGCAAAAAAGAGATCGAGTTCACACTGCACTTGCTCGATCATTAGAAACGAGTGAGCAGAGAAAAACTAGGCAAGAACAAGATCGAGTTCACACTGCTCTTGCTCGATCACTAGAAACGAGTGAGCAGAGGCAAGCAAGGCAAGAAAGAGATCGAGTTAACACTGCTCTTGCTCGATCATTAGAAACGAGTGAGCAGAGAAAAACTAGGCAAGAAAGAGATCGAGTTCGCACTGCGCTTGCTCGATCACTAGAAACGAGTGAGCAGAGGCAAGCAAGGCAAGAAAAAGATCGAGTTAACACTGCACTTGCTCGATCATTAGAAAGGTGTAAGTGAGACGAAGTTCGCCAGGTCAGCTAGTAAATAAATAAATTTGGAAACTTTTAACCAAAAATAATAAATAGTTGCAATAAATAAATAAATAAATATTTACATAAGTGCAGTGCAACAAATCCCTAAGAATTTTCAATTTAGGACGTATGCGAGTTACGCTAAGTTGCGTTCTAATTGAGGGAAATTCTAAGTTGTGCCGGTAATGTAGTGATGTGTCGATACATGTTGATAAATGGCTAAATGTGTGCAGTGTAAAAAATCCCAAGAAAAGTCCCATTTGGTTTAGCATCAACTTAGCCTAACTCGCACACCTCCATAATTTACTATATCAAACTCGCACACGGCCATGATATATAATAGGTCTGTTCCACGAGCTACTCGTAGTAAAACACAAGTTAAGTACAAATTGAGAGCGTAACACAAATAAAGTGCCAAATTACGCTTTTTACACAGATTTTCATGGAACATGCCGAAAGAGGGCCTGGCTTTATATCTTAATAATCTCCTTTGCTCATAATAAAATCTATACGCAAGAATGTTACTCCGTTCATTCTCTAGATTGAAGTCAGTGTATGTGTTTCAGACCAATTACACACTATATTAGATAAATCTATACATTAGTTAAGGACGATATTCCAAACAGACTACTATATATGGAGATGTAAGTAGAGATGAGAGTTTTGGGAAGGTATAGTTAGAAATACCATCAGTACCTGCAGACTTTGTTTTTATTATATATATATATAAGATTTTGAAGAGATCAAAAGAAATAAGAAGCTAATTGAGATCATCATAATTAATTCTGTGGTATTAGCCCAATGTCGGGGACTACAAAAATGAAAATAATTTTGATATATTTTATCGATATATTTTCTTATGAAGTGTAGAATTTTGTGACGAACTCTTGCACATTTTTTAAATTGTGCTATATTAAAATCGTGGCTAAACTACAAAGACTTATCGAGATAAGTCTGAAAATGTTTAAGTAGTATTGTCTGAACATATTATTATAGTTTAAAAATTGCCAATGTACTTAATAGTTCACAGGATCTCATAGACATAGTCAAAGGTGGCATATAAATAGAATGCCTCTCTACACTTTTATTGGAATCTTTTATAGTCTTCGGTTTTTCTTGAAGAAATATAATGTTAATGTTATAGATAATTCAATATATAGTGTCATATAATGTTGTTTATAATGTATTTAAAATAATTTACAAAAAAAAACTTCAATTACAAAAACGTTTCCCTGAGGCTGCAAATACCCAGCTTTCAGACAACACAGTGGATTCATAATTTACTTATTCCTTATTGTACTATATCTAATCTTCTTTTAATAAAATAATTGCAATTCTCGGCAAAGGCCAATACATAAAAAAAGTGCTGTTATACATAATATTGATGAATTTTTATTGCATTTTATTATAAAACGAGTATAAAAAGATTTGTTTCATGCATAGTATGTTGTAATCTGATTTTTGGTCTACTTATATTAATATATTTATTCAGTTTAATTTTATAATGCCACGGTAAAACTTTAAACCACCATCGTATTTAGTTTACATACTAATGCTATTTAATCATAAATTATAAGTGCGCATCGCATCCGTATAATATAACTGAATCTCCTATGACATAACAGGCAAACGTCGACAAAATAATACAAGTATTCTAGTCTAGTAAGTTACTCTTCAGCTATTCAATGAACTAAGTAAAAAAGAAGGAGAGAGAGAATATATATATTTCCTCCCTTCATTTCGAATTCAACTAAAACAAGTTTGTAGTTTTTCAGTGTCTATAAAATGAAAAGTCAGAAGCAATTTACTCTGTTAGAGAAACTATGTCAGTGACCTCCTCTTGGCCCAGATCAAGGCTGGAAGTCACAGAGAATGTGACTGGAAGTAAACCCAGTGACCTCCTCCTAGCCCAGCTCAAGTCTGGATAGTTACAGAGAATGTGACTGGAAGTCTCGTTTGGTTCTAAGCAGAAGCGACAACCTATCTCTTCGGACCGACCCGTTTAATATCCCACCAAAAACCTCAACTCAACTTACCATAACTGTAGGGATGAACCAGCTATTTAGCCTGACGGTTACCTGTAATGTCACGCCGGTAACTTGGACTGCGCTTCACAGATTTGAATAGGAGATCCTGATCTCGCAAGACTGTACCCAGATTCGTTACCATTGATTCCTGTATGGCCAGGAACAGATAAGGTTTAGGTAAAGATATAACTTCAATTGAAATCGGCAGATTTTTTTTTAATTGTGTATTTTTTGGCTACTACTTTTTAATGACTTTTGTTGCCATTGTGACTGCGGATGAAAAGTAAACTTTATTCCAACTTATGTTTCGCTGTTGATCATTGGTTAACAGAAATTTCATAATCTTTGAATCCACTTTCCTTACCAACCTAAGAGATCTGTCATTCTACCAAATTGTTGATGTTGTTGTGATTTGAGTTAGTGCTATTGCGTACTTTTACTCTTTTGCGGCTAGGGGGATTATCCCTGCCCTCACACTAAGAACTATACTAGAATTATTATCATTTATTTATTTTTTAACTGATGATGGTCCGTAGATCAGCATATCTTCCTGTGCGTCCTGAGGTGGACCAAAGGTTTGTTAGGGCAGTTTGGGCAACGTATCAACTTTTGTGAATAATTTAAGGGCTCTGTCCTTGATATATTTTTTCACTGAGTCGATCCTTAGATCTGTATGCATGTCTGTTGGTCTAATATACCAAGGAATCTTAATTAGTCTCGTTAAAGCCAGATTTTATGCTATCTGCAATTGTTTCATGTCTACCAAATTATAGACTTGGATAAGTTTATAGACTTATCAGATTGGTTTACTTCACTTCAATAGGAAAGTTTTGCTTTTCAGCGTGTTCGTTTGCTGATCATTGTGGTTCTTCTAGGAACCGTTCTAGTTTGCGTATAAATAACGTTAATCCATGGTATTACAACGGGATATTATTTGAGTTAAAATGGACTTCGGATACAAGACCGTCACTCCAATCTAACCTAACCTAACCTTAAGACCTCTCAGTGATATGATAACTTTACTATTACTTAATGTTTATGTCCTTTTATCATGACACCGGTTGTATTGTCATCTATCTATAATCTGACATTATTAGCTAAAATGTATATGTATTATTATGGTATTATTAATATTTCTATTGTGCAAGCAGTGGTACTCTGCTATTCATGTGAGGTATCAATATAGACCTACTTTTTAGTGTTTAAACGTAACCTTTTTATAAGTAGTGGCACCTCTATTATCTATCCATCATTAGCAATATTATATTATGTATGTTATTAGCAATAATATATTTGGGTATTATTATATACGGCTTTAGTTCTGTGCATTTAGCTGAAAAGGAACTATGTTATGCACACCTTTAAAAATCCTCCGATTTTTAAAGGTGTTTCTAAGGCCTGTTTCTTAATGTTTAGACGTGATTCTTATTCATGTGGCATTATGAACAATAATTGATTACCTTATATGGAGTCACTCTTCAGTCTAGAGATTCAACGAAGAATCACTCTTGCCAACAAATGTTACTTCGGGCTAAGTAAGCAATTGAGAAATAAAGCCCTCTCTCGACAAACAAAAATCACGCTCTACAAATCTCTTATCAGATATTTATTGAAAAATTACCAACAGTGATGAGAAGGCATTAAGAGCATTCGAGAGAAAAATTCTTCGGAAGATCTATGGTCCCTTACGCGTTGACGACGAGTATCGAATTAGATGCAACGATGAGCTGTATGAGCTATACCGCTACATTGACATAGTTAAGCGCATAAAAATTCAGCGGCTACGCTGGCTTGGTCATATCGTGCGAATGGAAGAAAGTGCTCCGGTTAGAAAGGTATTTACCCGCAGAGGAAAAACGCGAAACAGGACGTCCGCATCTTCGATGGAAGAACCAGGTGACCAACGATTTGGAGGCGCTCGGTACTACCAACTGGTGTCAGAAAGCAACTAATTGGGCTGACTGGCGGAGGCTACTTGACGCGGCCAAGGACGACCCACGTCTGTAATGGTCAACTAAGTAAGTAAGTATATGGAGTCACTTCTATGAATTTAGCAGAGAAAAGTGCTCTATATTAATATTTACACTGAGTTCAAGTTCAATATAAATGTACATAGTTATTTCGAAAAAAGATTTTTCAAGTTGATTTTATTTCAGCTTTAAATACATATATATTTTTATTTTTGTTTTTAAATACATTAAACACATAAATTAGTTTAGTTTTACACATTTAGTTTAAATGTTTTAATCAATTTGATTGGATTGGTTTTTTACTAATACTTTGACAATTTGATTTGTTAATTAATTTTTAATAGTTAAGTTTAGTTTTAACGCATTTCAAACTGCGTTGCAAAAGTTTTCATTTTTCATTTTGTTTATAAATTTTATTTAGTATTTGCTCTGAAAGCAATCAAAAAAAATATTTTGTTTGGGATTCACCCAATTCCAAATTTGTGCAACACGTCGGACAATTTGCTATTGTGGCTGCTACAAAAGTTTTGCTGTTGCTTCTGCTTTTGCTTTGTTGGCTTTTGTTACAATTTTTTTAATATAAATTTAAATTTAATTGTAAGTTTTTTTTTTTAATTAATGCAAATATAAATATAAAAGATTTTATATAAATTTACTCATATATTATTGCTACTGAATTTTTACTAAAAACACTTATAATGTTTCCATTATCAATATTATCAATATTATTATTATTACTTTACTTTACTTTTAATAATTTATTTTAATTTTTAATTTTTAAATAAAATTTTTAATGTAAAACTTTTTAGTTTCATATTGGTTTTGTATCTATATCACAAAAAGTGTTTCATTTAAACATAAATATTTTAATCCATTAATTTGTGTTTAATATTTTTGTTTTGTTTTGTTTTCTTTTGTTTTGTTTGTTTTCTGTTTGTTTACTTAAATTATTAATTTTACATACATAAATTTATTGAATAACATTTACATAGTTCAATACGGTTAATATATTAATTTTTCCTTATATGTAAATTATAACAAACCGCTTTGCTTCTGTTATCTTTATCTTTATCTTTATCTATATCTGTATTTATCTGTATTATCTCATCGACTTATAGTTATAATGATTCATAATTATAGTATATATATTGGGTGGTCTTATGAAATTAAAACTTTATCTCGAATTTTCGATTCTACAAACTCTACTTTAGCTAATTTAGTATTTTTCATATATGTATGCATATATGTATGTATATCTTTCGCAATAATTCTTAAATGTTTATTTGTTTGTTATTGTTTTTAGGTATGTAGTATTATGTATGTGTATGATTTTTGTATACTGATGTACATATATAGAATAATAAACATTTGTATATTTATGTGATCGTTTATAGACTCTTCTAAAGTTATCGGTGTATCTGTTGTTGCATAGGAACAACCAACTACAATTACAGCAGATATTTAAACTACATCCTACGAATAAAACAATGTGTCCACATATTAATTAAAACTAACTCATATTCCTCAAATTACACATGTAATATGTAAGTATACACATAGATTTAAATATATATATATATAGGTAGGTACACATATATATATAAAGACTTAAAATGTAAGCTTATTTGATTGCTTTATAAATAGTTTTTTTTTATTATAAAAATTATAAAATATTTCATATTTACAAAATCCTTAGTACAGTCAATCCGTTCTGCGTACAATATATATAAATATTTATCCGTTAAAAAGTTCACTGGTGTCCAAAAAGTCCTGCAACATTAACTTGACTGCATTTTACAAAAAATTTTATTTTAGTTGGAGTCATTTCTGGACAAAAAATTGTGAATCCTCCAACACCAAAAGTGTGTATTTTATTTTTATTTGGTATGCCAAATACCAGTAGATCTCTATAATAATCTATGAAAATCTGGCAACATTACAGTTTTAGCTGAATAAAATGTTCGAGTTGCCATATGTTGGCAGACTCCTGGGATATGTTAGTTAAAACTGCAAACATTTCATATTGAAAATGCTCGTTGTTAAAGTAGTATTGTTATCGCTTTGTTGTTGTATTGAAACTGTTTAAAACTTCTCCAAAGCTCGTCGTAGCTTCTTACAATAAAATGGACATTAAGACTCACGTTCTTTTTTCACCTTAACCTCTTCACCCAATATTGTTGTGATTTCACCTTGCATAAATGCCCATGGTATGGTGGAATTTGCTAAGGGACAACGATCACCACTTGGGCAATACACCTCATTACCGAGACCCTGTAGTATAAAGATAAGATCCATAATTAAACATAATCCATACATCGTGTTAAGAATTTAAAACTTACATTTTGTCTCTTAATACTCTCCCGACTGCAGGGAAAGCAGAATTTATGATGATTAACCGAGGGGCACTGCACAAAGTGTGTATCCTCTAAACGTTCCTGACATAATGTGCACTTCAATGTGGCATTTTGTGCTGAAGTAGGTGCAGCAGCGCCTGGAGCTGTTGCTGTTGAATTCATGCCAGGAGCTGACTGTCCTGTGCCATTGCTACCGCTGGGTCCAGTACCGGCATCTGGTCCGCCGTTAGCACCGGGTGGCAATGGTCCTGCACCCCCACCACTGCTTACATTAACTGAGCCACCAGGGCCAACTTGTGGAGCATTTGGCTGATTTGATTGCACTTCCGAACTGGTAACAGTTGTGCTAGAAACATGACGAGAACCAGAAGAACGACGACCGGATGATGAGCCTGCTGTAATGACAAAAAAAAAAAAAAATTAAATTTAAAAATAAATTTTAAAATATAAATTTTGAAAGAATATTAAAATTGTATTGTATGTTAGTTTGCTTAATTAATGCAAACTCACCCGAACTATTCGGTGAATGTTGGCTACCGCGAGAAGCTGTACGCGGTGGTGGAGGTCCTGGTGGGCTGGGTCCATTGCGTGGACTACCTGGCGGCAATGTCTCTGTAATTGACATTAAATTAGCCATCGGACTTTGTGCTAATTGTGTAACTGAACAGGCTGTTGTTGATAATTGTGGTAGAGGTGGTGGTGCTATTGACTGTGGTAGAGGTTGTGGTTGTGACGTTGGTAAGGCTGGAGGCGTCGAATTGCCCAGCGAAACGGCCGGATGTGGCGTTGAGAAAACTATAAATCATATAAAATTTTTTCCCGAGAAATGGAAAAAATATATGTATTTTCAATAAGTATTTATTTGCACCGTAACATACATTATACACAAATAAAAATAAAACATTAAGTACAAAAAAGAAAATATTTCATTTAAAATAAAAGTATGTGGAAATAAAAATTAGAAAAAAAAAAAGAATTTAAAAGAATTATATGAAATTATTTGGTTTCGATAAAGAAATAAATACTTAAGAAAAAAACTTGTGATTTCACAAGTTTGACGTTTTTTGGTGTGTGGCACTGATCAGTGAATTTCTTTTAAAATATTAAGAGTTAATAGGTAATTACAACTCAAGAACCAACAACAGACCTTAAAGAACTACTGTACAAGAACTCATCTTGTACAACCTAAACTAATACACAACTCAAACCACTTTATATACTTAAATAGAAATAATAGTTAAGTACAACAAAAGGACCACCAACAGACCTTAGTAGAGTACTAGGATCGTCTTAATAATCTTAACTAGTACGCTACTAGTATCACTAAAAGTGGAACTTTTGTAAATGCACGCATATGTGTGTATATTCTAAACTAAAAAATATTTCTCAGAAAATCCTAACACTTTGTAACAGAAACTTTTCCAGATCTTTTCTGGAAATCACTTCTTTTACAAGTTTTAATTTTTATGTTATATTAATAATGTTACTTGAATTGGAGAATAGCGTCTTCTCAGATAGGCATCGTTCATTCACTAGATGTTTGGGACCTCCACCTTTTTTTTAAGTGGTTCTACGAGTCTGAATGTCTAAACCATGGTAATATAACGCGCCATTATTTATGCCTAAATGAGTTTAAGTACATAAGGCTGTCACTCTACGTAAAGAAAAAATAACATATTGATATCGATAATCAGTTATCGAATTTAAAATAATAATAAGTTATGTAACAGAATGCTAGCATCTGTGAAATCAACTTTTTTAAAAGTGTTATTTCATAGAAAATCCAAGCAAAATAAAATTTTATGTTATTTTATGATAACATAATAGAATAACAACGATATCGATTATTAGTTATCGAATTTGTAATCATAATATATCTAAGAAGTTGTGGAATAGTTTGCTAAGGATATGTACAATTTTAAAATATTATCTGAAATAAGAAATATCTTGCACTTTTTATGAAATAGATATAATATATATTAATAATTTTATCTAAAATTTAGTACAGATAAACTTGAAGAAAAAATCTCAAAATAGAATTTCAGAGTATTTATCACAGAATTTCTTTGTATATAACATGAAGCCATTGTTAAGTACAAAAATATATTTATATACAAATACTTTAATTGTTTTTTTGTAAATCCCCATAAATTCAGAATCAGTGATCACCGTACAAATAACGCTAAACGCACGACTCCTCTATTCAAGTGAAAGTAAACCAATCTGACAAATCCAATCATCTTTGCCAAGTTTCTGATTTTATAGAATAAAAAGTATGTTTGATTGGTAAGAAAAAGAGTCCCTGAAAAATTGATGGACGCTGACACGACATACCCCCGATAAATGTCATTATAGAAAATGTCATAAGAAAAGATGCTCTGAAGAATTTGAATCTTCTCCTAGCCAACGATAAACATAGACAGATCAGATGAAGTTTCACAATCCCAGATGAAGTGTGTTATCTGCAATAACCCTGCTGCAACGATGATATATGGAGATACACAGTATAAAAAAAATGTAGTCCATTGCATAATAACAATAAAAACAAACGTTTGAACTTCGTGCTCTCGACAGTCTCTTTACGAAATAACAAATCGGTGATCCCGAGGGAGTTAACCGTCTGACAACGGGATACTTTTAGTTGGTTGAAGTCTCACACTGACTTAGACTTTCGTTTGCTTTACAATTCGAACGCTATACCGCGACCTATTAAAACTCTTGCACTATAAGATGGGATTATTATCAGGATGACATATAAGAATTTTTATGTTATACGATATAACAATGCTAAACCACGACCTATTAGAATTCTTGCGCTATAAGATGAAGACAATGATACGCCTGGACCTATTACAACTTATCCGTTATAAAATGGAAAAATGCTACATCGCAATCTATTAGAACTCTTGCGCGATAGGGTGGGATAATGATACACCGCGGCCTATAAGCACTCTTGTGCTATAAGAATGTATGTGTCTATACATACATATGTATGGTAAATTATAATTTTTGGAATATCTAATTAGACATTTAAATTGTATAATTTCGATTTAAAATTAAATGACTATAGATCAACTCTACATAATCCTAGCAAGTATGTATGTTGATCCTTTTTTCGTGTCAGCGCAACTGGGCACTTTTAATCTTTGATAGCTGGGGGTAGATACTACAGGGACCCACCCATTTCATTGACTAATTTATGTATTCCTTATAAGCTTCATGATTATTCAGTGATTGATCTAAGATCTGTTATCTGTTATCGATAACAAGAAATCGATTAATATTTTAATTTTAAATTATTATACATTTGTTGAGATCCCATAAACATACGTGCGTATATATAAATAGATATATGTATATAAGTGTTAATAAATTTAATAAAATTTCTCAAAATGAAATCGAGAAATATATTTTGTGGGGTGTTGGTGGGTGAGGTAAACACTAAATTCCCTCTATTAATACGACGGTAAAAATAGAATCTGATACATGCTAACATAACAATGATAGAATGAATATATATACTATATATACACTATATATACATGGAATTATAGTGCTGGAATATTTGAAAATTAAAATTTTGTTCCACAACGAATGGAGAATGGAGAAAATTATTTTTATCAACAAAACATTTTTCATTCGATTTCGTGCCTAATGAGAAGATAAATAAACTTTTCTGTTGTTATATATAAATTCTGAGATACATACGCTGGCTGCATGCACTGTGTTTTTAATAAAACAAAAACAAAAAAAAAACAAAAAACAAAAATAAAAATAAAAGCAAAAACACAGCATGCTACATGGCAACACAACAAAAAACAATAACAAAAATGAAAATGAGAAACGAAAGAAAAAAAAAATATTTTCACAAAA